GTGTAGTATAGAAATTTGTAATAAGATACATAATGCGGTTATAATAAAATATTGTGCGATTATTTTCATATAATTAAAATTAATATTTATTTACTTTTTAGAGAATACGAGGGAAGCGGCGCTTCCAACGCTTCTAATGATGGCACGCCACTGTAAGCTTGTATCAAGTGTCTCTTTACCAGTATTGTGTTACATGACAAATAATAAGTTTCTGAATAATACATTATAAAATAAATAAAGATTTATACTAAAATTTTTTATAAATTTATTTTATAAAATGGTGTATTATAAATTATTCTGATTTTTTGTGGAAGCGTATTGTAAAGCTTTTTATGTTAACATATAAGGCTAGAAACTATTATAAAATAAGTATTATTGTGATATAAAAAAATTTTTTTTTGTATTTGTGTAAAAATATTCATATAAAAAAGCTTTTATAATAAAAGTTCTCTGACACTCCTGCATGCAATTGTAAAATCCTAGAAGAAAACATAAAATAACAGGATTGTCTAGAGTAATTTATTCTTATCTTTATATATCGATTGTTTTGTACATATTGTTGAATATTTTGTTGCAGTTACTATTTTTTATTATATTTTTATCTAAAACCATTTGATCTAATTTTATCTATAAAACACAAATTTACAATAATATTTACATGTAACTTATTATTGCAAATTTATGTTATTTGAATTATTGTAAATTTATGTTTGAAAAAACCATAGAATAATAATAAATCAGAAAATTTTATTTGCAGATTTTATAATGTAAAGTAATATGTTGTCTTTTGCACTAAACGAACTGCACCCTTTTAGAGCCTCAGGGTGTAAAATGTCTGTTTACAATATACTATTTCTCTTTCATAACAAACTCTAGGGGGTGGTGTGGGTCAAGCAATGTAGGACAGATAAAACCTTTTTTTTCTGATAATAAGCTAATGAAAGATATTCATATACAGAATTTTTATAAAAACTCTGCAATCTTTTATCAAAAACACGATGTTTTGCAGGAAAAGCACTTTTACGAATGCAAGTATTGTTTTAAATGTGGTATCTCCCTTCAAATTCGCGCTACATTCACTCTGTTTTTATGTTTTCTAGCAAAGTCATATTACAGTTTACCGTAGTTTTGTATTTTGTTTATCACGAATTTAAAATTATAATCAAATTCGAAATTTTCGAACAAAACAGAAAATAATATATTTATTTATATAAATTCGCTAAAAATAATAAGTTTCTAAATAATACATTATAAAATAAATAAAGATTTATACTAAAATTTTTTAAAATTTATTTTATAAAATGGCGTATTATAAATTATTTTGATTATTTTGTGGTAGTTTTTTCGTAAGATATTTCATTCATATTATAACAGAAATATTTTAGTAGAAAAAAATATTTTATTCATAATTCTATAAATTTATATACCTATATATTACACATATTTAACTTTATTTACCTGTATACAGTGGTGCCTCGTACAACGTACTTAATCCGTTCCAAATGCATGTCCGTTAAGTGAAACGTCCGTTATATGAAACGCATTTTCCCATAGAAATACATGTTAAAACATATAATTCGTTCCGCAGCATAAAATAACCGTACTGTACCATAAAAAATGAAAATGGAGCAGACACCAATTATGCCGGGTAGTCAGATGTTGTGAGGAGGAGGTGGAAGAACACTTTCTTTACACATTCATACAGATACAGACTTTTTACACATTGCAGCGGGTCTTTTTTTATTGTTTTTTAATCGGAGTCAGATTCAGGAGAGGCTACCGGAACTTGCAGGGTCAACTTCTCTTGTTCCATCCTTTGTTTTTTGCCCGCTGGCTTCTTGAAAAACATGACCAAGGTGGTCTGTTTCTCTTTCTTCTTTAACACCTGTCGGAAATGACAGACAAAGGTGTCATCGTAGAGATCATTGATCCTGTTAGCCTCAGCTCTATTTGGATAATGAGTGTTGGTAAACTCCTGAACCTCTCCCCATTCGACAAGAAAGTTTTTGTCAACTTTCACTCCTGATGATTTCTTGCTTTGTTTCAATTGAAATCACCTTTCTGTTTTTTTAGAAGCCATGATGCATTATAAATGACTTAACTTGCCAGATTATATGATACGAATAATTCTTTATTAATTAAGATCATTAAACACTTCTACGAGCTACTTTCGCTCCGTTTCTTTTTACAACCTCTTTTCGTCCCGCCACCTCGGCATCTACACAATTACATTTCGTTTATTTGAATAGTCAACGTATATTATATTACATTTAATGTTTATTTAAATTATCAACATATATTACATTACATTTCGTTTATTTGAATAGTCAACGTATATTATATTACATTTAATGTTTATTTAAATTATCAACATATATTACATTACATTTAATGTTTATTTAATTCATCAACATATATTACATTACATTTCTACTTCAGATATACTAATAATACATTCTAATAATACTAATATATCCTAAAAATAGCAGATTGCCATTGGCAACAGCAAAAGTGTGGAAACATCATTCGCACTTGTTCGAAAAAAGTCCATTGCTCGTCTCACGTAACTGCCAAACGAAAAGTCCGTTGTCCGCAGCAAGTCCGTTGCTCGAGTCACGTAATGGTCAAACAGAAAGTCCGTTATTCGCAGTGTCCGTTATTCGAGGCGTACGTTATACGAGGCACCACTGTACTTATTTACAAGTTTGTTTCAAGAAATGATGACTTTTTATTTCCTTTGAATAATTGTACAATATCTCATTCTTAATCTTGATATCGGTGTGTCAAGTAGTGCTTTAGTTTTGTGCCTGCAATTTTGTTGTTTTTGGATATCTGTCAGCCAGTTGTTCTGCATTATCCAGTAAGTTTATGATAATTCTATTTATTCCGGAGATTATTATCTAATTTTTAGCGCGTAAGAAAAAAGTAAGTCAGGTTTTTAGAATAATCCCTTTCCAAGTCGCGTTGGTGCCCCACCGCCCGCACTTTGATCACGTGGCGTTTCACAGACACTATTTTTATTTCATAAAATTGTAAAGTTATTGGCTTTGCTTATGGGCACAAGTATAAAAGTTCACGACTGACGAACGGTATTCGAAGTGGGAGGTTCGGAATTTACGGCTGGTTCGGAGATTCAACTCAAAGGTATCGAATATCGTCGGTCCGGCTTTCGTGAAGAGACTCCCCCGAGAGGGGGAAGAAAGCATATTTTTGTGCTGGAATAATCGATCACGTGATCGGTTTTTATAGGAGATAAAGGTTATAGGTGTTCTCGGGACCTAAAACAAATGACGAAATTTAGATGCTAACTATAAACTTTTGTGCAAGTCGAGCTGCAAGCTGTGTGAGAAAAATAAAATGTTGATAGTTATGGAACGATGGTTTCAAATGTTCCCAGCTAAGATCGTGTTTTTTTCAATCCGTTATATAACAGAAGTAAAATAATTACATTTTTAGAATAATAAAATTTCGGATCTCACAATTCTAACAATCCATAATGGATGTTGCTCTAGTGGCATCGCCTATGGGACCAGGAAGATTTATTACTATGTCATGCTGCTTTGTTTTTGTTAGTAATTTTTGTTGGTGAAGTTGGATAAACTGAGCCATCAAAGATGTAAACGGGAGACGGACGAAACTTCTATATGTCTTTATTCTACGAAGACCTACAGACACACTGGACGTTAGAAAAATAGCAATAATTCAGAGGGTCATAGGCAACGAGAAAAAATAAACAGTGTCATCGTACATTGCATTCTATCTTCCAGGAGACCAGGAAATAAACTTTTTAACACGTTACAGCCATATTCCTAACAGTTTTTCCTAGTTGCGATGTTGAAAATTTTTTCAGCAGGTACTAAAATCATACCCTATATAAAACATGCTCTCACCTTGTTAAAAAGTTGAAGGTATCAATAATTGCTTGTCATCAAGCTGTTCTTCCTGTTCTGTATCAGTGTCTTTATCTCTTGTTTCACAGATATCAGGTTTACCTTCAGATGATTTGTCATCATATATAATATTTTCCATATCCATGTCTGAGAGTAAAAAGCGTGCATGCTCCATATTGATGCAGTTGATAACAACGCTGTTTGAACACTTCCACTGCACTAACAAAAGTACAAATGCAAACGAATTACGTAGAGATTCGCTGAACTTTGTACATCTGTTAGTTCACTTAGAGACATCTGTATTCTATCAAACAAAACAAACTGCAGCTATCTATCTAGAGCGAGGGAGAAGTTATTGCTATAATTTACACTACGTCTCAAATTACTTAGCCGAAAGACGAGTCGATTGTTATTGTGAAGCGAAGAGTCAAAGTTTATCAATGTATATTTCTGTTTTAAATAGTGAATATTTGACGCTTTTCGTATATACTTTCCACACTTCATACAATAATACACTATAATAAGCGATTAGATAATTTTTTCCTAAGAATACACAATATTCGGGAGAAATAAGTTTCCCGGTTAATTTTTTAGCTGGAAGCTTTTGTTAATTGGATTATCTAACCTTGAGGGAAGAAACGAGAGAAGTTAAGTCTCGTTGTAGTGCGAAGTTAGTCTTCTATAATAGGCAGACTGTGTATCACGTGGAAAAAACTGATTGTGATTGGCATTATTCGGCGCTTGTTGTCTTACGCATAGATATTTCATTACTACATACAGTACCGCATCGAAAACTGCATATCAAGAAAAATATTGACCATGTGTCTGTTGAGTTTGTTCCAAATTCTGTTAAGTTTAGTTATTATTTTTCATTTTGTGACATATTTAATACGAAATAAAAAGAGAAACGGAAGGAAACAACAGGAAAATGATTCGACTTTGAACAAATATGGAGAGAATTTGTGTGTATCTGGAGGTAGGCCAATAATTGAATACTTTTTGTTTTTTTAATATCATTAATTTAACACGAAAGAAGTGATCCGACTGCGCTACAGCGCTCTATATTATAGCTCAGCCACACGTTTTAATGTTAAAATACCAACTTTGATGATTAATATCTCCAAGACCGACATTCAGATTTGGACGAAATTTAAAATACTTAGTGTCAGCGATGAGCGGTACAGAAGTCTTAAACTTTGAATAAATTAATTGGATCGTTCTGGCAAATCCAAATTCTGCAATTTCGAGTAGATTTACAACGAGAAGGATTTTCGCAACATCAAGCTGGCGGAAAATGTATAAAATGTCTGCGTATCCTCGACAGTTCTTTGTACAACCGACCACCTCTTTTGTGGTCCCTTTGAAGGATTTATTTCAAAATATTGTAAATTTATAAAATTATAAGCCCAATGTTTAAATATTAACATTTTATTGGTCGATCGTCTACCACGTGAAGTGACGTTTTGCTATTTCTTTTAATCTATTAGCATCGGATCCTTACAATGACAAAACGTATTTTTGTCGGTTGTGTCATGCACATTTACCCCGTTTAACACATAAGAATTTTAATACAAAAGTATTTTAAATAATACATAAATACAGGAAAAGACGTTGGATTCTGATAACTCAAATTACAGCTTTCGGGTGCCGGTACTTCTCGTTTACCTTTGGTATGACTAGTTTAATTAATATTGTCAATTTTACTTAATATTATATCAGCTGATCTTCCTATTAATTCAATGTTTGTAAAAATCCGTGGTAATTGTCTTTAACGTTACCTGAACAATAACTTTGTGTCGTTTGTCAGTCTTTCGTGTTGAACTTGAAACCTTTATTCTGAGGGATTCTGAATAATTGGTACAGTCTTAGCGCAATATGCCTGCATTCTGTCAATTAGCCCACTTTCTTATATTTATACTTTTTGAGATTGTTTCTTATAATCGTGGTTTTAAAGAGCACATCAGTTTATTTTGTTTGCTGTGATAGTTTATTAAATTTGTACATGATAAACGTGTTACTTATGCTTAAATAAACTGAAATATTGTGTAAAAATTGATGAAAAGTTTATTACCAGCAATTTGGCCACCATTTTTATTACATTAATAATACAACTAATAAATTTTACAATTAGGAAATAATATTTGGCGTTATAAAAAGTTTAGCAGCAAATTACGAAACCTTACCGACTGTTAATAGAATTTATTAAAAAAAATTACTTATATATACAAATTATACTACTAAATACTACAAATAAAATGTGTATGGCTTCATCGGTCATGAGATTTTAAAAAATGTTTCTATTATTAATTATTATAAAATTGCACAACGCTCAGTTTTAACATTGACGATTTGTTTAAGTAATAAAGTAAAGCTGTTCATTACTAAAAGACAATATTTTAATTAAAATATGTTCAAGCTAAATAATCATTTATATTTAGATTATTTTCTTATCTGATGTTTTAAAAATACTTTTTTATATGATTTAGGTGGAATATTTATCGGAATTCCTGTATTGTTTAAAAGTAAAATTTAGACTTATTGTGAGGAAAGTTTCACATGTAAGTTTTTTTAGAAGTAAAGCTGAAATCAAGGTTTTTCCTTCCAACAGGAATTTGTTACTTGAATAGGAATTTATCAATACGATCAAAGAAAATAGGGCAGTGAAGGTAATTGTTGTGCAAGTAACTCCTTATCAGTTTCTTATATTTCCTCGAATTTATTCATGCGTGTTACGTTTAAATTTCTACTTTACTGAAGAGAAACAACAATCAATAAAAATAGAAATTTTCACCGAGTTATAATTATTATTCTGAATTTTTTAATTTATATCTTTAAAAAATTTTTCACTTTATACTTTAAAGTAACAAATTTTATTTTACTTTTTAAATTTTCTATAATTTTTACTTTAAAAAATTTTTAAAGATATAAATTAAAACTTCAGAATAATAATTATTGTGAGTTTGCGTTTTTAAAGGGGATTTTCAGATTGATGTTAATCGTTTTTCGAAAGAAATACCCGAAATAGAAAAATCGGAGAATCAGATGAGAGGTCACCAGTTGTAAAAACAAGTCATTGGGAAAGTTGGCACTTTGCTGTCAAAAATGCTTTGTCAGCGTAATTTGACGACCACGTGATAACTTTTTCACAACAATAGTATAAAACTGCGAGCAACCGGAAGCTCGGCACGTATCGTAATAGGAACTTATAATTGCTAATAGTGCCACCTTGACTCCAGGATCTTCATATAGCGAACCTGATCCAGCAAAAAAAAGAGAAGACACTGGTTGGAAGATACCGAGGAAGCCTACCTCTTCCATACAGACGACGTTTGCCATATCGATTTTTCGTTACGTCCGAGAGGTATTTAGGGGCTATTTAAACTTGAAAATTTATCTCTGGAACTAGGGATTAGTTGCCCAGTTTGTGTTAATAATATAGATTATAATCGCATTTAACCTTAGCAATTATATAGCTTTCTGTAATCTAGAATTAGTTAATCAATAATTGCTTTTTTCAAATTTCAAAACTTTGATAGTAATCATTTAATACACGGAAATACAGAACAAAACAAATTTAACAAGGAAGATCAAATTTTGGCAAAAGTGTTTACATTAATATATATAAATAAAATTTACTGAAGCTACAAAATTGTCTTCTTCAGAAGACATTTTTATCCAGTTTGAGTTTTATTGCGGAAGCGCAGCCTAAAATAAAAAGTTTTCTCCGTAACTGAAAATTACTTTTTGGAAGTCACCGGTGTTTGTAACAGCAGAATATGACAATTTTGTAGCTTCAGTAAATTTATTTATATATTTGAACAATATTTTAATATATTAGGTCACTGTATGACTCTGTCATAGGATGAAAAAATTGAGACAAAGTGCTGTGTATTTATAATTAAAATTTTTTAAATTAGTATTAATACTATATATTATCTTTTGTTTCATCTAATCCAAGCACTGACACTTGTTTGAAAGTATATGTAATGGCACACACTCGAATACATGCATGCAACAAAAAAACGGTTGTTGGCCACATGAGAAGGCAATACACTTATCAGTCACAAAAAGACAATCCTTACACTTGTTGGCATAAACATGTGGCATTTGCTTAGTGTCAACTGCTTTGTCTTATGTTTTGTTTATTTTTGATGCCCATTTTTCATCAAATGCATGCATTGCTGTTTTCTTATTTCTTCCATCCGTAAATTCTGTTAGGTATGCTCAATTGCATGACGCAACATAGACGTTTTCTCTTTGATCTCTACTGTATCTCAAAATTGATATCATGGATCACCCTTCTTTTGATTGCATTTTTGGATTCCTCATCATAATTAATTGAAAATAGCAAACTTTAATCAAAATTAATTGTTCAAATTTCAAGAACGAAAACAGTTCTGTAAGTCACATAGAAAAGGCTCAAGCAATGCTCTGCCTCAACTAGATAATATTTTCAGCCATCTTTAACAGAATTACATGTTTTTAAATCCTACTTAATTTATATGTTTTTATTGTACTTTAAATTTGTTTGTTACCTACATGTTCAATATTCCAATTCTATTGTAATCTTTAAAAACATTTGATCCTACAGAACAGCCAGATGGTCATTGAAGATGACTGGAAACATTAACTGGTTTATTTTATATTTTTAGAGACAATCAGTTTGGATTGCTAACTCTATTAACAATATACTGTTACAAGTTAAAAGTAACATACAGACATAATAATAATATTAAATACAGAAATATTATATAAGATATAAAACGTTTCAACATACGTTTTAGTCCCTTGAGATTAAGATATTCCCTCATCCAAATTTCACATTTGTTATTCTATGTTTTTACATTATAAGATTTGAACTTAAAAATATCATAAATAAATTTATCTTTGATTAAAATATTCTATTTTTCACACTAACATGAAAATCAATTAACTTTGTAAATCATTGTAATTGAAACCCTTTCTTCAAACTTTAAACAGAATAATGTCTAATTCTTGCTTTTTGAAAACTTATTTATTTTTGCAAGAACATTTTCAAGCTACTATGTCTCTTCTCGCAGTTTCCTTACAAATTTGGCACAAGTAAATAAAAATATTATCAATAATATGGTACGACTTAGGGAACGCATCTGCCCTCTTTAATCATATGAAAGATTCCTTCGTCCAAATGGCCGAAGAAAATCGCCTATTAAAAGAACAGCTCGAACACCAAGCTGGCACTTTAACACTCGCAAGCCATGGCCGTCCACTAAGATAAAGAAACATTTCACCAGAAAGAATAAAATCTTTGAAGGACTTAACTAACGCTTCAATGCCACTTTTTGATACTGAAAGAGTTAACTAAATAAAACTAATCTAAATACTTAAAATCCTTGAATATATCTTCAAAAGCGATAAAAATAACAGCAGCACTCTCTGTTGCTGTAGTGTGATATTTAACTTTTGTGATTGGTAGATTACAGGTTACGTGTCTTAAAATTCTGTTTTTTATTGCATTTGTCGATGCCTATTTTTTAATAGTAATTTACACGTAGATAGAAAATTATTACGTACCACTTTGGAAAGTGCTGAGCAAAACGTATCTTAATCATGTTTCTACCAACTTTTCAAATCCTTTTAAGTTTAGTTGTTATTTGTCTTGTGTTGATTTATACAATAGTGAAGGAATGAAGAAACAGGAAACAACTGGAAAATGATTCCACTATATTATCGTGTGGAAAAGCTTTATCTGTGTCTAGAAGTAAGTAAATGTTTGAAAGTTTTCATTATTATTTTTAAAGATATTATTACTTTAAGACGAAACATTATCTTACAAAAAGATGATTTTATACAGAATTCGATTAAACAAATTTTAATTAAACAACAATCGACAATATTAAAAAGAATAAAACAAATTTTTCTTATAAACATTGTTCGACTCAGACCATATTGAAAGAACGAGAAATGCAAAAACATTTCGGTTTGTTTTTCGTACGTACGGCCTTAAGTGTGTGTGAGTGTTTGTGTAGCATTCTGTTCATTAGATTTGAAGCTTAAAATAACTCCAGTGTTTTTATCGAGAGTTTTTGAAATTTACTACGAAGGTTTCTGTGTTTGGTGAATTTATGCTGTTAAATTTTGGTGGTTGCACGTCTAGTGTATGAAGAGATAAAATGTCGTGTGTTCTATCTGACATAATGAACTTAACGATCGAATTTAATGAAGGATTTATTCCTTTTCGGCAATTTAATTTTTTATTTCATAAAACCTAGCTCTACTTTCATAGAAATCTTTTTGCCGTTTAATAATAATTAAAGAAATAAAACGATTTTTTAAAGAAATAAAAGATCAAAACAGATGGCGCAAAACGCAGTTATTAATGTTGCTGGGAAAGATAAGTAACTGCTTGCTTGAGTTTTAACATTCGGATAAATTTCAAATGCTTAATTTACAATTTTCTTTTAGTAACTTCAATGCACCTGACACTTATTTATGTAAAAGTATTTTTTATATTCTTAGAATAAAAAATATATAGAATAAACAATTTTTATTGTTTATTCTATAGAGATTTAATATGTGTTTTCACACTTGCAAATACGAAAACTTATTTTTGATATATTAATTTTTGTGTCGACTTAATAAAATAAAACGAGATTTTAGACTTATTTAAATTACAATCTGTATTTTATTTTTTAATTTAGTTAATTATTTTCATTTATAACTATGTAGCTTAATTTTTCTATGTTGTATTTTCCGCAGTTAGTTAGTGTTGCGATACTGTATTTAGACATTCATTTTGAAACTATTTTCAGCTTTAAGTGTTACCAGTCACAAGTTTCTTCCTTTAGGCTCGTTTCTTTCCATTAGCAGATATGAAATTCTCATAAGTGCAAAAGCAGCAGCACAATTTATTGCTTTAGAATTGCAATTTTATAGACCTCGTACGAACATTTTTTATTCTCACGATAAGCAGATGATCGTCAGATCCTCGTATGTGTGTACGTGTATGCTGGACAAGTGATAAACACTTAGCGAAATACTTTGCCGAATATCGAATATGTAGATGCACGTTAATAAACTGTTTAACTGATATTATATTCGTACAAGAATGAAACGTGGAAGCATTCTTGTAGCAGCCATTCAAATTAAAAAATGCAGAAACACGTTGTTGATAAGTAACGATTCCACCGATTTTAATGAACTTTTTTATATATGAAAAAAAATTACTGCTCGTCATTCTGACGACGCTCGTTATCAACTTTTATTTTTATAACAGACATTAATTTTTCAGAAAATAAAGACAACGGCCAGGAGTTAAAAATGAATCTTCCGACTATGTCCTTTTTACCATTTTTGTGGAACATTGTATTTTCTCAACGTGACAAGAAATACCACAATTCATACATCGGGATACGTATGTCATTAATATTTTATTGGGTAATTTGACTGTTTAAGAATAGATGAAATATTTTTTCGTAACTTTTTAGAAACTTTAAATGTAACTACGGGACTCTCTACGCTATTTCCAAACGAGAAAGTTGCCTGTATAAATATACTTGGATATAAATTAATTTTTTTCTTACATCCAGAATCTGCAAAGGTAATAAAACATGCCTAGTTATGTAATATATTTACTACGAATGTAAATATTCAGTATAACGTTTTGTAGGAAGTATTAAAAAGCAAAAGTTTAATCGATAAGGATTCTACGTATGATTTCTTCAAGCCACTACTCGGAGACAACAGTTTTTTGTCAGGTAATGCATTATTTGATATTTAGTTTACATATGAAATATCGTCGTTTACAGTTTTTTGAATTTAATTAAATAAAGTTCTGACGATGATTGGAGAAAAAGAAGAAAATCTTTCGCTCCACATTTTCATCTTCGGAATCTGAAAAATGATCAAAACGTATTTACGGAGCATTCAAACGTCTTAGTCGAAAAACTCAAACAATTGCAAAAAAATGAAGTATTCGATATTCTGAAATTGATGAAATATTGCACTCTCGACATAATTGCAGGTATTACTCTCTATTGTAAAATATTTAATTAAGTATTATAAATATCAATTTCTTTATAGGTAAACATTAAATAAAATATTTATTTTGCCCACTTATTGCTCATCACGTAGAAAAAGTATGAAACGAATTTTAAAAAATAATATATATACATATAAATATGTCACTGTAAGAAAAGTAAGCTACTGAACAGCCCTTAACGAAACCAACAATAAACAGAGTCAAAAATTCAAACAGTATTTTTATCACTTACGCGTTTCACGGAAATTACGGATTTATTCGTTTGAAATTCTGACACACAGGACGACTTTTAACACCATTCCTGTCTAGCGACAATAGTTAGAACTAAAGCTAACTATAATTAATTTTTCACGATAAAACTTGGGCCGGTTTCTGTTCATCGTCTCTCGTCTGTCGTCTCTCACAAGCCAGTCGCTGATCGGCTAATAATTTGTTTACGTCTCGAAGATCATCGCGTCTCTCTAAACGCCATTCTGGACAACTTTTTCTCTCTTCGCTTCTCTCGCTTATCAGAGACGAACAGACAGTTGTCTTTCGACCATTTTATCGTCTTTCGCTTCGATTTCGTTATATCCAATATGGATGACTGGTCGCTACTCGCGCTGTACAATAGTATTAGAGAACATTCTCTATCTAGAGAAATGCCTCTGATTTTTTTGCACTGCCTACTCAGAAACGTCACTGATTCCATTTTTCTAAAATTATCCTATATCAATTACTGAACTATCGAATATGATGTTAATTTCACTTGGATAGTTAAGGAGAAATTAGATAGTAATATTTCGAAAAATATCCAAGTATGCACGCTTTTGTAACTTAGGCTATTAGAATTTTTATTTGTTAAAAAACAAATTGACATTACAATCTGTAAAAACGTTATAAAACAAAAACAAGTTGGTCGAAATTACGTGCTTTATTTAAACACATGCACCTTGTCACGTGACACGTGACAAGGTGCATGTGTTTAAATTCCCCTTGTCACGTGAATGCGGAGTACGATCTATGATTACGTTCTCCGCATTTTCGAAAATTTTATAATTTCATTGGTTAAAATCCTATACCGTATTACGCGCGCAGATAACCCGAACAATCAACCGAATAGAATCGTGACGTCAACAACAAACACAAGATCGTTACGAACCACCAGAATCGCCAATATGTATGAGAGACAAAATTCGTATCTCTCTTCGACGTCATTCGTCGATTTCACCAGAATACGGCCTCCGATTACATTTTTGTTTGGTTTAGTTTTGTTTTCTTGATTACTGTTTTTTTTAGTGAATCTACTTTGTTCTGCGATGCCTTCCCGATACTGAATATCATATCAAAACGACGTATATTTATTTATTTAACAACAATAAATATCAATTTATATTTATGTAGACATAGCAGTAGGAGTTACTCTACATTCTCAGACTACGAACGATCAAGAATACGTGTCTGCATTAAACAGGTATGGAAAATTAATTTCCAGATATATTTCTTCATTTTTCAAATAATATTTATAAATGTAATATCTGTGTTAAATAATATTTATGTAGACATAGCAGTAGGAGTTACTCTACATTCTCAGACTACGCACGATCAAGAATATCTGTCTGCATTAAACAGGTATGGAAAATTTAGTTCCAGATATATTTCTTCATTTTTCAAATTTATAAATGTAATATCTGTGTTAAATAATATAAAGTTAGTTTATATCTGATGAAATTTTTAAAATGTTCCAGTCAACTTCGTTATAAGGGAAACGAATTATTCTAAATTTTGATTGTTTATCAAATAACCGAATATTAAAAGTTTGCACATTATAAATGAGATGTTTCAGCTATATGTGCTGATCATAATAAAGAGTTATTAAAAGAATGTGTAGAGAGAAGTGTGTAGGGAGAATGTGTAGAGTTTCTAAACCAGTGTTTCTCAACCTCTAACGAATCGTCGCCCCCTTCAACGTAGTATCGCCCCCTTCAATAAAACCGTTACGTAGTATCGCCCTTTCAATAAAACCGTTACATAGTATTGCCCCTTCAATAAAACCGTTACGTAGTATCGCCCCTTCACTTCAAAATTCCGATGCCCAGGGCCAAGGCTAACGCCAAATTCGTACCGCATTAAATAGACTAGTGACTAGTATAATGTTATTCGTTTAATTATTGTACGATATAACGAATAAAATGTCTAATTATTCTTAATATAATGTTTTACTATATCGCCCAGAAAATTGTTTTTCGCCCCCCTAAAATTAATTGTTAGTAGTCGCCCCCTCAACATGGATAAACTTTCACATGGGGCGATATCGCCCCCGTTTAGAAACACTGTTCTAAACGAATAGAATGTGTTCATTTAGTATGGATTAAGGATTTTAGAATGAATTTAATTATTAGTTATAATGTTTTAAACGTAAACTCTATGTATTTCCTACACACGAGACACAATNCAAAATTCTTTTACTTTCTTAATTTTCTATATTTTTTACTTTAAAAAATTTTTAAAGATATAAATTAAAACTTCAGAATAATAATTATTGTGAGTTTGCGTTTTTAAAGGGGATTTTCAGATTGATGTTAATCGTTTTTCGAAAGAAATACCCGAAATAGAAAAATCGGAGAATCAGATGAGAGGTCACCAGTTGTAAAAACAAGTCATTGGGAAAGTTGGCACTTTGCTGTCAAAAATGCTTTGTCAGCGTAATTTGACGACCACGTGATAACTTTTTCACAACAATAGTATAAAACTGCGAGCAACCGGAAGCTCGGCACGTATCGTAATAGGAACTTATAATTGCTAATAGTGCCACCTTGACTCCAGGATCTTCATATAGCGAACCTGATCCAGCAAAAAAAAGAGAAGACACTGGTTGGAAGATACCGAGGAAGCCTACCTCTTCCATACAGACGACGTTTGCCATATCGATTTTTCGTTACGTCCGAGAGGTATTTAGGGGCTATTTAAACTTGAAAATTTATCTCTGGAACTAGGGATTAGTTGCCCAGTTTGTGTTAATAATATAGATTATAATCGCATTTAACCTTAGCAATTATATAGCTTTCTGTAATCTAGAATTAGTTAATCAATAATTGCTTTTTTCAAATTTCAAAACTTTGATAGTAATCATTTAATACACGGAAATACAGAACAAAACAAATTTAACAAGGAAGATCAAATTTTGGCAAAAGTGTTTACATTAATATATATAAATAAAATTTACTGAAGCTACAAAATTGTCTTCTTCAGAAGACATTTTTATCCAGTTTGAGTTTTATTGCGGAAGCGCAGCCTAAAATAAAAAGTCTTCTCCGTAACTGAAAATTACTTTTTGGAAGTCACCGGTGTTTGTAACAGCAGAATATGACAATTTTGTAGCTTCAGTAAATTTATTTATATATTTGAACAATATTTTAATATATTAGGTCACTGTATGACTTTGTCATAGCATGATAAAATTGAGACAAAGTGCTGTGTTTTTATAATTGAAATTTTTAAAATCAGTATTAATACTATATTTTATCTTTTGTTTCATCTAATCCAAGCACTGACACTTCTTTGAAAGTATATGTAATGGCACACACTCGAATACATGCATGCAACAAAAAAACGGTTGTTGGCCACATGAGAAGGCAATACACTTATCAGTCACAAAAAGACAATCCTTACACTTGTTGGCATAAACATGTGGCATTTGCTTAGTGTCAACTGCTTTGTCTTATGTTTTGTTTATTTTTGATGCCCATTTTTCATCAAATGCATGCATTGCTGTTTTCTTATTTCTTCCATCCGTAAATTCTGTTAGGTATGCTCAATTGCATGACGCAACATAGACGTTTTCTCTTTGATCTCTACTGTATCTCAAAATTGATATCATGGATCACCCTTCTTTTGATTGCATTTTTGGATTCCTCATCATAATTAATTGAAAATAGCAAACTTTAATCAAAATTAATTGTTCAAATTTCAAGAACGAAAACAGTTCTGTAAGTCACATAGAAAAGGCTCAAGCAATGCTCTGCCTCAACTAGATAATATTTTCAGCCATCTTTAACAGAATTACATGTTTTTAAATCCTACTTAATTTATATGTTTTTATTGGACTTTAAATTTGTTTGTTACCTACATGTTCAATATTCCAATTCTATTGTAATCTTTAAAAACATTTGATCCTACAGAACAGCCAGATGGTCATTGAAGATGACTGGAAACATTAACTGGTTTATTTTATATTTTTAGAGACAATCAGTTTGGATTGCTAACTCTATTAACAATATACTGTTACAAGTTAAAAGTAACATACAGACATAATAATAATATTAAATACAGAAATATTATATAAGATATAAAACGTTTCAACATACGTTTTAGTCCCTTGAGATTAAGATATTCCCTCATCCAAATTTCACATTTGTTATTCTATGTTTTTACATTATAAGATTTGAACTTAAAAATATCATAAATAAATTTATCTTTGATTAAAATATTCTATTTTTCACACTAACATGAAAATCAATTAACTTTGTAAATCATTGTAATTGAAACCCTTTCTTCAAACTTTAAACAGAATAATGTCTAATTCTTGCTTTTTGAAAACTTATTTATTTTTGCAAGAACATTTTCAAGCTACTATGTCTCTTCTCGCAGTTTCCTTACAAATTTGGCACAAGTAAATAAAAATATTATCAATAATATGGTACGACTTAGGGAACGCATCTGCCCTCTTTAATCATCTGAAAGATTCCTTCGTCCAAATGGCCGAAGAAAATCGCCTATTAAAAGAACAGCTCGAACACCAAGCTGGCACTTTAACACTCGCAAGCCATGGCCGTCCACTAAGATAAAGAAACATTTCACCAGAAAGAATAAAATCTTTGAAGGACTTAACTAACGCTTCAATGCCACTTTTTGATACTGAAAGAGTTAACTAAATAAAACTAATCTAAATACTTAAAATCCTTGAATATATCTTCAAAAGCGATAAAAATAACAGCAGCACTCTCTGTTGCTGTAGTGTGATATTTAACTTTTGTGATTGGTAGATTACAGGTTACGTGTCTTAAAATTCTGTTTTTTATTGCATTTGTCGATGCCTATTTTTTAATAGTAATTTACACGTAGATAGAAAATTATTACGTACCACTTTGGAAAGTGCTGAGCAAAACGTATCTTAATCATGTTTCTACCAACTTTTCAAATCCTTTTAAGTTTAGTTGTTATTTGTCTTGTGTTGATTTATACAATAGTGAAGAAATGAAGAAACAGGAAACAACTGGAAAATGATTCCACTATATTATCGTGTGGAAAAGCTTTATCTGTGTCTAGAAGTAAGTAAATGTTTGAAAGTTTTCATTATTATTTTTAAAGATATTATTACTTTAAGACGAAACATTATCTTACAAAAAGATGATTTTATACAGAATTCGATTAAACAAATTTTAATTNTCTGTGTCTAGAAGTAAGTAAATGTTTGAAAGTTTTCATTATTATTTTTAAAGATATTATTACTTTAAGACGAAACATTATCTTACAAAAAGATGATTTTATACAGAATTCGATTAAACAAATTTTAATTAAACAACAATCGACAATATTAAAAAGAATAAAACAAATTTTTCTTATAAACATTGTTCGACTCAGACCATATTGAAAGAACGAGAAATGCAAAAACATTTCGGTTTGTTTTTCGTACGTACGGCCTTAAGTGTGTGTGAGTGTTTGTGTAGCATTCTGTTCATTAGATTTGAAGCTTAAAATAACTCCAGTGTTTTTATCGAGAGTTTTTGAAATTTACTACGAAGGTTTCTGTGTTTGGTGAATTTATGCTGTTAAATTTTGGTGGTTGCACGTCTAGTGTATGAAGAGATAAAATGTCGTGTGTTCTATCTGACATAATGAACTTAACGATCGAATTTAATGAAGGATTTATTCCTTTTCGGCAATTTAATTTTTTATTTCATAAAACCTAGCTCTACTTTCATAGAAATCTTTTTGCCGTTTAATAATAATTAAAGAAATAAAACGATTTTTTAAAGAAATAAAAGATCAAAACAGATGGCGCAAAACGCAGTTATTAATGTTGCTGGGAAAGATAAGTAACTGCTTGCTTGAGTTTTAACATTCGGATAAATTTCAAATGCTTAATTTACAATTTTCTTTTAGTAACTTCAATGCACCTGACACTTATTTATGTAAAAGTATTTTTTATATTCTTAGAAACGCAGTTATTAATGTTTCTGGGAAAGTTAAGCAACTGCTTGCTTGAGTTTTAACATTCGGATGAATTTCAAATGCTTAATTTACAATTTTGTTTTAGTAACTTCAATGCACCTGACACTTATTTATGTAAAAGTATTTTTTATATTCTTGTATTTTAAAGTATTACTAGTATTTTATTATATTGTTTTCTTAGGATTAAAATCAATTTTTATTGTTTATTCTATAGAGATTTAACATGTGTTTTCACACTTG